TTTGGTTATTACGAAAGTAGTCTAATCTTACTGTTTTCAATTTTAATAAGTATATTCACTACATACTGCTGTAAAAGTCTGTCAATATGTAAAAGGACACAATTACAACTGTTTACACTCCTAATCTAAAGCTTGTAACAATAATATTCCCAACATAATACAGTTATTCGTTTCTTCTTTGCTTTCAAAATTACAAGAAAGAAAAACATATACCAACAAAAATTTCATTCACTAAATGCAATCAATAAGATAAATACATTCAATTAAAAAAAAGAAATTACTATAATCGATAAAGTTTACCATAGTCTTTTACTTCCAAGAGTTGATTCGTAGAATCGACATGATTAACTTCTATTAAATTTTGACAAATCGGAGCTTGTGAAACACTTACATTTACCTTCTGAATAGCTTCATGTTATCCAAGTTCTCCATACGAAAAAATAATGGATATTGAAGAGAATCATAACAATCATAATAGTATTGAACTTTATATACATTATCTGAATGTCTATAAATTAATAAATCCCGACCTCTAATATTTGCAGATGGGTCATCGTCAACCCAAACTACAGCCACTTGTTCTGATGTTGACAAGTTATATACTCTGATCAAGACCAAGATCAGACCTTAGTAAAATATGACATAATTCTAAATCAGTAACTTCACTTAATGATTGGAAAAATTTTGAATATGGATTTTTGTTTAGAACATCTATCAACTTTCTGAAAGTGAACTCACAAAACTTGTTTGAAATATTAAGTTTATTACAAATTTCATTTTCAGTATCATAGAAGTATAACTGTAAATACGTTGGATTATCATCCATATGTACAAGTGAGTTTATGAAATGATATACTTGTTCTTGAACTCTGAAAGTATATATACCTTTATTATTCTTACACAATTCTTTATCATACTTAATACCAAATGAAGTAAATACAAAATGATTGTTGTAATTGCGAACAACTTTTTTAAAAGCTACTGCCTCTTCAAATGTAGAAGTAAATAAATCATACATTTCATGAGGCATTTGATGTAACCGTAATTTGACTTTTCCACCACAACAACAAAAGTCTTTGCTTTCTCTGTAAAATTTTGTTGCACCACAATGACCACAAATTTTAGAAGATGGCAAGACATAAGGTCAATCAGGAATACTTCCTTTATCAATTTGTTCTGTGTATGCAACAATAACATGAACATATCCTTAATTAGCATCGCCTAAAAGAAAGAAAGAAAAAACAATTTGAAAAAAGAAAATTGTAAGGAAAAAAGCATTCTCTAAATAAACTAAACATAATTGCAACTAATCATTCTATTCTATATTTAAAAAAATGCATCAAGACTAACATGAAGAAAAAAAGACAAATGCACAATAAATCATTAAACAATGAAACAATTTTTCACAAAGTTTGACAAGGATAAAAGATTAGCAGCCAATATAAGACGACAAAATCATACCTATAACATATCAATATACCTTTAGTTTACCAAAAGTGAGAAGAAATAATAAACACCGTCAAAAGATAAAACAAATACGACGAAGCACAAAAAACATATTGCCAAATTGGAAAGTCTCATAGAATTTAAGGACAAAAAGATAAATATATTGATACACATAGACCTCTTAAACTGAAGCTCCTTAAACGTCGATCGGAATGAGGTTGCACTTTATGCATAAGATTTTTGAGTTGAGGATTTCTCCAACTGTATTGTACACTTTTGCTTTCTCTTTCGTTCACAAGCTCGTCTATTCTTAAACCAATCACCAACATTTTTTTTTTTGAAATCATAGGATTACATGACGATAAGGTGGACACTATATGTACAATTTCTGCATTGCTCGGACTTTTATTTCCTCCATCAAATATGCACTGAAAACAATCAACCTAAGTTCATGTAGGTACTCAACCTTGTCTTCCCATAATTGAATCATCGACAACACGAACTAACTCACATACAAATTAAATGTAAACTATAGACAGTAAACTTAGTTATACATTTCAGAAAAAAAGAAGAAGAAAAAAAAAAGAATGAATGAAAGATAAATAATCACCAACATGTTCCCTTTCCCCCACCATCTGCCTCTTCCGCCGTGGTCGATGGGGCTTGAAGAACAAGTTAGACACTTTTTTAATACCAAGGAAATGGGATAGGGGCTGACCTCTATACAATTCCACCAAAATGATCTGTTCATTGCCAATCCAAACTGGAGAGAAGGAAACAATTGAAACAATGGCAGATGTGAACTCAAATTTCTTGACAATGAAAACCATTCATGGAAAGCTTTCTACACTGAAATGGGTCTTGAATTTGTTCGAAACAGTACTCACATTGAAATGGGCCTCATTTGCACCACTCTCTTTAATGGCAGCATGGCCGACGCACTGGTACGATACATTCTCCTCATCCAACAAGTAAGCTTCTAGTGATGTCTCCAGCTTCAATTTGATTAGCTCGTCCATGACATCAAACACAACTACAACGTTTTCTCTAATTCACTGTGCGTGATTTCTTCTCATCAATGGTATTATTCTCTTTCATACTCATTTTTAATTATAATTTTTTTTTTTTTAAAAAGCATTTCAAATTTCACATAATTTTTTGGGGGTTATTTGCACAAAACATTTTTACCTTTCAATATTATTGGGCAAAACTTCCTTACTTTTTTTTTTTTTTTTTTAGCATTTTCGCCCCTTACTTTTAGCATTTATGTGGAAATCAAAAAATGTAAACTAATAAATATACCCTCCTATTTACATAAAAAAAAAAAAAAAAAAATTAAAGAACAAGTTGCAATCACATTGCCAAACTTTTTAAAAAAGTGCAAATGAATTCAAATAAATTATTAAAAGTATATGTAATTAGTATAAAACATCCTAACCTTTCAATATCATTGTGCAAAAAGTCTCTACTCTTTATTTTTTGACATTTTCATCCCTCACTTCCACATTTCGTGGCGAAAATCATCATTCTTATCCATTTCTCAATGAAAAGCTGTAGAATGATGAATATACCGTATTCGTTAAATATAGTGTAGTAAAACTTCCTTATGACTTATCCTACTAAAAGCAAAAAAGCCCACCCAGCCCTCCCCAATGGGGCAAAAAAACCCACCTCGAAAAAGTTGGTGGGGATGCCCTTCTCCGAACTTGCCCCGTGAAGGAAAAAAAGATTAAAAATAATTTTATTTTTAGACAATTCACCTGTTAAAAACTCATTTTGAATTTGTATTTTATTCTTTAATAATAACATAACTCGAAATTTTGAAAATGTAAAAAAATAAAAAATAAAAAAGAAATTAAACGGGGCAAGGCAAAAAGTTGACCCGCCGCGCTGTGCCCCGAACCAGCTCCATTGCCATTCCTAACTTATCATCTCCAAGATACAATAACCTAACTATTCGTCATATAATTCAAACAAACTTTACACAAGTAGTTGAGCCCAAAGCTCCATTAAACGAACACCCTTCTTTGCTCATGAATCTTTCAAAGAAAATAAGTGAGAATGTAAGAAGAGAGATAAGAGAATTGTGATTATTGTGTTGGTAATGAATGACCAAGGAATGGTCCTATATGTAAAAATTGGTCATCCAAAATAAAGAGGTATCATAAACACACGAAGGATACGTATTCAATTCCCACATTTTCACCTTTCATTTTCTAAACCTCCAAACTCTTAACTTTCAAAACCTACAAACCCATTAAAAGAAAATACAATTAATGAATCAAATATATTAAAATGCACCTACAAAAACAATGGCCGATGAGAACCCAAATTTCTTGACAGTGAAAACCATTCGTGGAAAGGTTTCTGCACTGAAATGGGTCTCGAATTTGCTCAAAAAAAATACTCATATAGAAGTGGGTGTCGCTTGTGCTGTTCTCTTTGACAATATGGCGTAACCAACGTGCTGTTACGACTATACATCCTCCACCTCCAACATTTGCTCTCACCCACTGTGCGTGATTTTTTCTCATCGATGGTATTCTTCTCTTTCACTCATTTTAAATTATGCATTTTTTTTTTTTTTTATAATGATGGCTATATTGTCGTCACAAAAATTTTGTATTACACCATATTTTAAATGTTATTTTTCCTAATTACAATAATTAAGGAATAGCATTATTCCTAAATTAATGATAGTATTATTCATCATCAGTGTTTACCCATAGGCATAAATGTGATGTAAATAGTTTTAATTTAAAATGATAAATCAATTGATGCCACATCATAAATGATTGATAAGATGATTGATATGCTTATGAATAACAATACTCCTAAATTAATAGCATTACACTATCAGCTGCCTCACGCTATAAATTTTTGAGCAAATTAAATGTGAATAGTGCCCTATTGATATTTATTTATTTGCTTGGGAGATTTCACATTTCCAACTTTTTTTTTAATGTAATTTTTGCAAAATCACCAGTTGTTTAAATGGATTTTTTTTTCCTTAAGAAGTTATGAGATTCTACTTGCAATTTTCCCTTTTTCTTTTTTTTTTTTGTTATTTAACCGCTTTATTTTATTTTTGCTTATTTAAGTCAAATCCATTGCGTAATAGTTAAAATGGAGCGAATGACGAGTTTTGCTACATGATTGCAAGGTTGCATCTCTCTTTTTAAAATGTAAAATCATCAGAGTTTGAATAGAAAACATCTTAAGATAATCTAATTATGTACCTATCCAGTAATTAATCGACCCATTAACTAAACTAATGTTGTAATTACTTGAAATCAATTAGAATCGTGAATTGTGTCAATTGGTTCTCATAAACAAATTTAATTATGGCTCTCATAATAATATTTGCTAGAAATCATTTGTCCAGATTTTCCAGCAAAAATTGATTTCCATTACTATCTGGAAATCAATGTGCGCAACATAACATAACAAAGCTTAATTGAAAATGAGCAGTTCTTTTTCTCTCCAAAACTAATTAGTTTTGTAATATATAGTAGACCGATCAAATATTAAATTCCTTGATTTGTCAGTCTACTATCACCCAAAATTTAAAGTTTACTGTTTTTTGAAGGCAACGAGGGTTTTAGAGTTCCCATTCAATGAAACCACGGCATCATACTTATCCAAGATAGATCCATTACTAGCCTCAATAATAAGAGTGTAAGTTGTCTCCTTGGATGCAGCCTTCAAAACAAGTTGGAATTTCAAGTTGGTTTTAGCCTCTTTATTGTATTCATCGATTGCAAACTTCGCCACTTCCACCACCTTAGGGTCTTTTGGATCTAAAGGCTTAAAACCAACGTCGGATTCCTTAGCCTTTCGGCCACCTAGTGCGGTCGAGACATCAAAAAGAGTGGACAAGGCAACCAACAATGTCAAAACCAACAGTAAAGAACCGGAATTCACAGCCATTTTAAGGGTTTTGAAGAATTTAAACAATAGGAATGTTGGAGGGTTACTTTGGTTGGGATGGGATGGTTCTTATTTATAATGGTTGCCAACTCTGAAATGAGATGGATATTATAACAATTTTAGTAAAAAGTTAAATGAGATTAATTAATATCTTTTATAAGGTAAGCTGGAGAAAATTTTGGTCAAACAGCATTGATTGTTTTTACAAACACGCAGCAAAGCTGTTGTAATCAATAATTAGAGAAGATAATCCTTACAAGATTTGTGCAATAAAAGAACTAGAGACAAACCATCTCTGCAAAATCTTTGTAATAAATAAATTGGGACAAATTCTACCATCGTTAAATTTTTTGATGAATTATGTGTTAGTGTTAAACGTTCGGTACCATCTATTACACTTCTGAATTTCAACATAGTTTTAGGCTTTTAGCCTTTTTACTGTACTTATTCGTCACGAATTTTACAATTTATATCACCTTATCGTTTCGTTATGCAAATTATCGCCACCACCCTAAGTCATTGCGACCTAGATCTTTAGTCATGACTTTGAGACAATAAGCCTCTATTTGACAATCATTATTTCAAAATTCATGTTCTACATATTCATTTTTAACCGCACATTCATACAATAAAATATTCTACATATAAATTCAAAATCTTTTCCTACATTTTAACCACGTATTCTCCAAAATATCACTATTCAAAACTTCATTTTATTCAAACAATGGTTGTCAAACAGAGGCTTAAATGCACGTAACTTTGTGAGATTAGGGTACATAAACTTTAAGATACATTGGTAGGTGACGGAGATTAAATAGTAAATTAATAATTAATTTTAGATGGTGATGGACTCCTTAATTTATTGTCCAGTGTATTAAAATATATCATAACTCCATTGAACAATGAATCAAAAGACTACTGATATCCACCTAAATAAATATTGGGCACTACCTATAATGAATAATATTATGCTTTTAATAATCTTTTCCAAATGCATACAAAACCACTCCTTTTATTGTATTTAGAATACGTTTATCAAGAAGTATTAGGAAATACATTGGTTAAATATAGGAGAAAAACTTTGATGTTAAATATCTGAATCCGTCCACAATGGATGTGTTCACACAACTCGGCTCTTTTGATAAAGGTATTTCGGTCAAGTTACGTACCATATTGTGTTCTTCCATCCAATATAATAATATAAATAAATATATATAATCGTCCCCACACCACCCACCGGCAGCCTTTGCAGGTGGCCACTACTGGACCACCACCATCACCATCCACATGTACAAACAACTTCCTCAACCCCAATCAGCAGTTTTGACAGATTTGCCAGAAATGTACGAGGTTTCTTGTCCCAAACAATCTCCCCTTAGATTTTTCTTCATCGACCCTCTAAAGATCGAAATCCATTTATGCTCTGAAAGTATACTTGAAATGGAAATCCTTCCACATCTCTCTCACCTCGAACTATTCCCAAATCTGAGATTCACCATTTACAACGCCAATATTGTAACCATCTCTCTCTTGTCGTCTCCCTTTCCTATTCAAAATTCAGTTCCTTTTGCTCAAAACTACTTCTACATAGTAGTGGTGGCTATCAAATTTGACAACAATCATGCTAAGAAACAAGAATCACAAAATATTAAATTGATAGTTAAAATTCACACATGCGAAAGATATCGTGGATATGAATATTAGCAATTAGATCTTTCGCTCCTTGCTCCACACAAAATATTAGTCGTCAATGGGCAAGCCAATAAAATATTATGGAGAGGAGATGAGACCTAGCATTTATATAGAAATTTATTGAGTCGTCCCATTATTGACTTAAAACTCTAATTAGAGTTTACATATAATTCCAACCCACATACTTAAATTACCACATTATATAAAATATACCCGTAAAGTGTAAACCAACTCAATCGATCACTTAACATATTTGGGCTTAATCACAATATCATTATGAGCCATACATCTAACCCGTAAAATTTATAATCAAATATAAAGACCATATTTAGAATTATTCAAATATTCCCCCACTCGGACAAACATTTAATTGCTATGACAAAACTTTTAACATCTGGGTTAAACTGACAGGTGGCCACACAAGTATAGCTCCAATGATGACACCTTACACGACATGATCCGATCTAACAAGAATGTTAATACCGAATATGAAAGTCGTTACACCAATTAAATGATGTAAGATCACTCCATAGCTACAAATGACGACATCCTTACCGAGCTGGATTCCCATCCTCTAACCAATGTGGTAGTATGTCTGTGCTAATTCATATCGGTCCTCATAATATTCAGATCAAAATGAAGCTACAGTCTCCAAAAAAGACTCATCTTATGTCTTTATCAGTCACATCTCGAGATTGTAATAAAATCACAATAAAAAGATATAAGTCAAATGGATGCTCAAAATAATTCATGGATAGGAAAAATATATTTTATTATTGGAAGGGGCTATACCCGAGGAACATATGGGTTGTCTACGTACCCATTAAAGGAATCAAGTCAAAACGTAGTTCTTTTACAAAAATAACTCCCACTAGCCAAAAATTCAAAGGTTTCCATAATACCTATATTAGCAACATGTGTCTTCAAACTTTTGAAGTGAGTCCCTTAGTCAAAAGATCTCTAATCATTGACTCTGTATTGATATGCTCTATTTTCATCTGTCCTTCGTTAACTCTGTCTCTAATTACCAAATATTTGATGTCCATGCGCTTTGACCCACCGGAGCTTTTGTTATTCCTTGAAAAGATTAATGCTGCGCAATTACCATGATAAATCTTGATTAGTCTCGAGATGGAATCAACAACTTTCAACCCAGAAATGAAATTTCTTAACCAAACGACTTGGACAGTAATCCCATAACATGATACAAATTCAGCCTGCATAGTAGAAGATGCCACTAAAGTCTGTTTAACACTTTTCCAAGAGATAACACCGTTTAACACTTTTCCAAGAGATAACACCACCAGCTAACATGAAAATATAACCTGGAGTTGATTTCAAATCATCTTGACATCCAACAAAATTAAAATCTGAATAGCCTACCATCTTAAGGTGGTTTGAACACTGGAATGTAAGCATATAACATTTAGTTTTCTTCAAGTATCTCATAACTTTCTTAGCTACTTTCCAATGTTTTTGCCCTGGATTTGATTAAAACCTACTAAGGACATTGATTACGTAGGCTATATTTGATCTAGTGAAAACTAGAGCATACATCAAGCTCTTTTCTGCACTAAGCATATGGTATCATCTTCATAGATTTCATTTCTAGCTCATTTCTTGGACATTGAGTTTTGTTAAACTTATCCCCTTTTATGATAGGCATATCTTCAGGTGCACAATTCTGCATATTGGACCTTACTAGAATACGTTGTATATAAGCCTTCTGAGAAAGTCTCAACAAGTCACGATTTCTGTCATGGTGTATTTCAATGCCAAACACATAAGAAGCTTCTCCAAGATCATTGATCT